ACTGAAACGCCAGGCCCTCTTGGAAGAGCTTGGCACATAGCGGCTCACTGAATCTTCATGATCACCCTGCAAAGGAGGCACAATCATCACGCCCATTTTACAGATGGGCCATAGAGTGATAGAAGAAGTTGCTGAGGGATATGCAGCAGACCCCAAGATTTCAATTCAGGCAGCCTGTCCAGAGTCTGGGCATTTCATAGTGCGTGGAGCTGCTATATACTAACAGAGTAATTAAAGGCATTGAAAGGTTCTTGTATTGGTTCGAACCCCAAGAACGTGCCAACAAACAACACGAGGCGGTGTGGAGCAACATGCTGTTTTAATGAGCACCTGGGTGCCGGCAGGCTGAGGCCTAAAATGGTGTCAGCACCAAATGAGGACAGGGCAGGGGTTTTATAGTCCTCTGCAAACAGGAAGGGTCCCAGTGTGACATGACTGCTACGTGGTACCCGGATGGCCTCTCTCCATCCTCAGGGGTAGGTGTCTTCCAGCCAGCCCTCTTCCTGCTTCTGCTGTCTCACTGGGACGGGGCCTGAGAAGGGAGGAGTTACTCATCCCCCCAAGCTTTCAGGCCCCGGGGAGAATCTTTCATTCCTGTCTATTTGTCTTCTGTAGAAGAGGGAAGAGGGACGACTTTCTCAATAACTACTTCAGGCATGACATAGAGGGTGGCTTGGGCACCTCGGAAACAAAAAACTTAATTTTGGGGATTTTTTTTTTTTTTTTTTTTTTTAGACGGAGTCTCGTTCTGTCGCCCAGGCTGGAATGCAGTGACCTGATCTCAGCTCACTGTAAGCTCCGCCTCCCGGGTTCCCGCCATTCTCCTGCCTCAGCCTCCCGAGTAGCTGGGACTACAGGCGCCGCCACCTCACCTGGCTAGTTTTTTGTATTTTTTAGTAGAGACAGGGTTTCACCGTGTTAGCCAGGATGGTCTCGATATCCTGACCTCGTGATCTGCCTGTCTCGGCCTCCCAAAGCGCTGGGATTACAGGCTTGAGCCACCGCGCCCGGCCAATTTTGGGGATTCTTGAGAGACGGGTTGGCATCCATGGTGCCGTTGTAGCAGGAGCATCAACTGGATCGTCTGGCGGTTTACTGTAGTTTCAACAAGAGTTTTAATGGCTTTCATTATCACTGGGTTAACACAGGGGAGAAACAGGAGGACCCCAGTGGTGAAGATGCCCATCCCTGTCAGCGTTTTACATCCTCCTAAATTAGAGAACCACCCCCTAGAAGGTTTGCTGGATCCCATCCCTTCCAGGTTTGGACTGGTCCATGGGCTACTTTTCCGATGTTTGAGGCGATTTCTAGAACCGCTTTTCCATTATCATCTATGTTAAGACAACAATTGGAGATATTAAACTTACCACAGACCCCACCCTCTTCTGCTGGTAAGTGTCTAGTGCCAGCCTGTGTTGATAAATTGCCGCGCACATTTGGTTTTGTTGTTGCGCGAGCATTTCCAGGGCTGAGGCGGTTTGGTTGGTGATGGTCTCTAGAGCAGCCTGTGGTCTGATTATTCTATTTAGCGTGTATATGGGATGACCCTGTGAACCATCCTCCCCCCGGCTGGCAGGACCGTAATATTCGATGATCCCTGGCGGCGGGCACTCGTCCTCTTGCTGTCTTCGGCATCCTCCTACCTTTTTACAACCCGTTTTCCTATGTTTAAGTTATACGCAGGGACTCCGAGGGTGTCGGGGTTTTCCCATGTAAAGGCAAAGAGGTTTTGGGAATCAGGGTGTAAAGGAATTGTGAAAAAAGCATCCTTTAGGTTTAGAACAGAAAAATGGGTGGTTTTGGAGGGAATTGTGGAAAGTAAAGTATATGGGTTAGGAACTACTGGACGTACTGGGAGTACAGCTTGGCTAATGGATCTGAGGTCCTGGACTAAGGGGTAAGTTCCATCTGGTTTTTTAACAGGTAGAAGTGATGTGTTAAAAGGGGAGTCTGTTGGGTGGAGTAGGTGACTGGCGAGGAGGCAAGAAACAGTAGGGCTTTAGGCCTATGAGAGCTGGTTGGGGGTGGGATACTGCTCTGTGAGAGGAACTGGGGGGCTCTTTAAGGGTAATGCAGATGGGGGAGTGGTGTTTTGCAACTGAGGGTGTGGAAGTATCGCAAACTACAGTGTTAAATATGGATGGGGGATAAGGAAAGGTTGCATGTTTTAGGGTGGGAGGTTGGAGGAGTAGAAGAAAGCTAGAAGTACCGGAGGGTTCTGGGTGGATGCGTTGGGTACCATGGAGAATGTGGAAGTGGAGAGTAGTGTAGAGTTTTGAAAGGATGTCTCTGCCTAGAAGCGGAGTTGGGCATGAGGGCAGGACTAAGAGTGAGTGAAGGAAAAGGCATGAAGGGAGCAGAAGAGTGGAGGGGTGGTTCAGGATTTGGAGACTTGTCCATCAATTCCTACAACAGAGACTTGGGAGGACTGGGTGGGTCCTGAAAAATTAGGTAAAGCAGAGTATGTTGCCCTGGTATTAATTTAAAAAACATACTGGCCTACCTGCCACCATCAGGGTTACCCTTGGCTCAGATGAAGTGATGGTAGTTGCCGAGGCGTCCATTCCAGGGCACCATCAGTCTTCAGCAGCAAGGCTGATGAGATCTGAGTAGGAGGTTTTGGCTGGCTCAGGAAGGGATGGGGGCGGTCCCCCCTTACAGGGGCCGCTCACAGTCCAACTTCCAGTGGGGTTTTCCATAGAGGGGGCATGGCCTGGTGGGCTTACCCAGGTTTGGGCATTGTCTGGACCAGTGGCCTACATTGCCACACTTGAAACAGGCGCCAGGTGGAGGTGGATTACCAGGAGGCTTCCGTGTGGAGCCACAGCCCCGTGGGCCTGCAGGGCCCCTGATGGCAGAGGCACAGCATTTGGAACTGCCTGTTTTTGCCTTTTATTTTCCTTATCATGATTGTTAAAGACTTTGAAAGCTAAATTAAGAAGGCTAGTTGTGGAGTTTGAGGGCCATCGTGAACCTTCTGAAGCTTGTGCCAGATATCAGGGGTGGACTGGGAGATGAACCGAAGGTTAAAAATAGTAGTTCCTTCTGGACTGGCTGGGTCTAGGTTGGTATACGTTCTTATGGCTTCAGTTAAATGAGAGAGAAAAAGGGCTGGGTTTTCGTCAGGACCTTGGGTGATTTCTGAAAGTTTTTCATAGTTGACTGCTTTATGGGCCCCATTTTTGAGTCCTGCAGGAGACACACAATCATGTGGTCTCGATGGAGGTGTCCAGAAGCCCCGTCTTGATAATTCTAGAGGGGGTCCTAGTTGGGGACTGCTTCTGTGCCAGGAGGCTGGGCAGGAGCCTGGTGATGAATTGTATCTGCAGGTGCCTGAGTTAGGGTCCAGATATGGTCTCAGTCTTCTGGGGTGACGGTGGAAGAGAGGATAAAGTAGAGGTCATGCAAGGTTAGTTCATAAGACTGGGTGAGGTATGAAATTCTCTAATATAAGAGGTAGGGTCTTCTGGAAATGAACTGAGTCTTTTGTTAATTTGAGAGCGATCAGTGAGGGAGAAGGGAACAGGAACTCTAACAATACCTTCAGTTCCTGCTACTTCCTGAAGGGGACACTCCAGCACAGGTACTGAAGTAAGGGTGGGGCATGGGCCAAAGATGGCGCCTGAGCGAGTATGGGCTGGAGAGAAGGAAGAACCTGGAAGTGGTTCCTGCTGAGGGTTTGAAGGGGGAAGCCGGGTTGAGTTAACAGGCAGTGGAGGCTAGATAGGGGTGTAAGGTGGCAAGAAGGGTTTACAAGCCTCAGGAGAGGGCGATGGGGGAGGAGAATGGGTACAGGCGATACTAAAATTGTCCTGAGGACGGGATGGTGTGGGAAAAGAAGTGGATACTGCTGACTGGGAAGATGGCGGCTGCGAAGATACAGAGGAGGCTTGTGGGGGTTAAAGAAAAGGTTGAGAGGGAGAGGAAGGAGCTGGGAGGGGTGGGCAGCAGTCTGCTGGATCACATGTGGAAAAAGAGGTAGGGTTGGGAGGAGAAACGCAATCAAGGCGGTGAGAATGGAGGAGAAGAAACGGGTGAGCAAGAACTGCAGAGGTCGGGTTGTGATCTGAGTGCAAAACCGCCTGGACATAAGCACATAAGGAATTTCTCCCCATTTCTCCAGTCATCAGCAATAATTGCTTAAGTCAGTTAAAATTGCAAAGTTGAATGTTCCATTTGTGGGCCATTTGGACCTGTTATCTAACTTGTACTGCGCCCAGACTGAATTGAAAAAAAGACAAGGCGCTTAGGGCGGACATCTTGCCTGAGGCCTAAGGTTTGCAGGTTTTTATAAGACAGCCTAGCGGGCTGTCCTTTGGAATGGAAGACTGAGAATTTCCCATAACAGAGGGTAGGCTCTGGAGAACAATGAAAAGGAGACCATCCTGGACAGCCGGAGGGAGAATATAAAAGGAGTGATTATCACACCTGCCTTTTTCGTCCCGGGGGACCAAATGGTTTAGAGGCGACCCCCTAAGACGAGATGATCAGCGAGTGCCTGGCACATGCCAGAGCCTTCAGACCAAGGTTGGATTTTCCAACGGAGAAACGAAGAGAGGCCATGAGGATTTTTCCCTGTTAACCGGGCTCCCGGGAAACTTACAGGTAGGTGAGATGCCTGCACAGAGAGGCGATTGGAGGCTGAGGAGCTTCCTTTGTCCCACTGCTGTGGCCGGCTCTCCGGGGTGCAGGGATAGGTCCACAGGGGAGGCAGACCTGAGCCCCTCCAGGGTTTCAGCACCAGATTAAAGTATCATTTGAACCCCGGGAGCGCGCCAACAAACAACACGAGGTGGTGTGGAGCAACATGCTGTTTTATTGGGCACCTGGGTGCAGACGGGCTGAGGCCTAAAATGGCGTCAGCACCAAATGAGGATGGGGCAGGGGTTTTATAGTGTCCTGTAAACAGGAAGTGTCCCATTCTGACCGGACTGCTATGTAGTACCTGAATGGCCTCTCTCCATCCTTCGGGGTAGGTGTCTTCCGGCCAGGGTACGTGTCTTCCGGCCAGGGTACGTGTCTTCCGGCGGGTCCTCTTCCGGCTTCTGCTATCTTGCTGACGCACGCTGCTGGCGCAAGCGGCCTTGTACCTTGGGACTGGGCCTGAGGAGGGAGGAGTTATTCATCTGCTTAAGCTTTCAGGCCCCAGGGAGAATCTTTGAGGCATAAAGTAACGAACACTAATAAATGATTTTTAAATTACCACTGTGATAAGGGCTACAGATTAGGAATACATAGAGAATGTATCAGGGAATTTTCTCTTAGTCTGTAGGGCAGAGAAGCCTTCCAAGAGAAGTAACTTTGAAAGGCAGATGTGGAAGATGAAGAAAAGGCAGGACAGGAATGGGATGAGGCAGGGCTGTCCATGGCTGGACGGACTTCAGGAGGACCCATGTAGCTTTGGGAACAAGGGACAGAGTGGCAACAGATCTTGTTGGAATGTACCTTGAGACCCTATCACAGCAGGGAGGTAGCATAATCAGGTTTACATTTTTACTTTATTTATTTTTTGAGACAGGGTCTCACTCTCTCATCCAGGCTGGAGTGCAGTGGCACCATCATAGCTCATTGCAGCCTTGAACTCCTGGACTCAAGCTATGCTCCTACCTCACCCTCCCAAGTAGCCAGGACTACAGGCATGCTCCACCATGCCTGGCTAATTTTTTAATTTATTTTTTGTAGAGACAAGGTTTCACCATGTTGCCCAAGCTGGTCTTGAACTCCTGGCCTCAGTCTCCCGAAGTGCTGAGATTACAAGTGTGAGCCACCTTGCTGGCTGAGGTTTGTATTTTTAAAGGTGGCTCTGCTGCAGTGGGGTGCAGAGGAGAGAAAAATGGGGTACAGAAGGATAATGGGGTATGGGGGAGGGGACAGTGGGGAACAAGGGAGAAGATGGTGGGATGCTGGGGAGAGGGCAGCACTGGGGGATTTCAGGTGAGTGTCAAGGCCACTGAGCGAGGACAGGTGAAATTCCAGCACAGAGCAGTTTGGAGGCAACCATATGGGTGAAGAGAAGTACAGAGATTTGAGAAGTATTTGGGTGGCAAGCTGGGAGGCAAACTTCCAGGTTTCTACGTGAACACAGGGGCGATGTCTTGGGGAGGAAGGAATATTGCAGCAGGAGTTCAGTGTGGAACATGCAGAGCGAAAGGGTAGCCGTGGCGGGACATAGCTGAACATGCAAAGCCAAAGAACAGAGAGAGCTTTAAGCTGCTGGGAAAATGTTGGGGGTCTTGCCCTGTTGCTGTAATTAAAGTTGTCAGAGTACATGAGGTGGTCAGGGAAGAAAGCACTCACAGACAAGTGGCTGGGTGCAGTGGCTCAGGCCTGTAATCCCAGCACTTTGGGAGGCCAAGGCGGTGGATCACTTGAGCCCTGGAGTTCGAGACCAGCCTGGGCAACATGGCAAAACCTCATCTGTATAAAAAGTACAAAAATTAGCTGGGTATGGTGGCGTGTGCCTGTAGTCCCAGCTACTCTGGAGGGTGAGGTGGAAGGATTGTTTGAGCCCAGGAGGCGGAGGATGCACCGAGCCCTTGATCATGCCACTATACTCCAGCCTGTGGTGACAGAGCAAAAACCTGTATTGAGATGGTTTGACTCTGTGTGCCCACCCAAATCTCATCTCAATTTGTAATCCTCATGTGTTGAGGGAGGAACCTGTAATCCCCATGGGTTAAAGGGGGCAGGTGATTGGATTGTGGGGGTGTCCCCATGATAAAGGGTTGGAGAAATAAATGGGGAGTAGATATCACCTGTGCAGAGCTCCAAATGATTTACATAGATGATCTGTCATTGAGGAGTGGGAGCATAACACTTCAGGCCTTAGGTATGGATTGTTTATAGTGACTGCCTCTCCATCTATACAGTGTGGAAAGGAGGAAAGAGTCACTGTATAATGGGCAAATCTGACAACCATTACCTGAGGCAGGTGTCCAAGGCCAACATCAACAATGATAAGTCAAGTTGACAGTTTGAACCCTTGAAAATGAAGTGCTGAGAAGGGCACTTTACCTCCGTGGTCTTCCAACCCCAAACCTTCCTCCCCTAAAACTCTCATCTAACCATGAGAAAATCATCAGACAGACTGGGCAAAGTGGCTTATGCCGGTAATCCCAGCACTTTGGGAGGCTGAGGCAGGAGGATCACTTGAGCCCACGAGTTCCAGACCAGCCTGGGCAACATAGTGAGATCTCGTCTCTATTTAAAAAAAAGAAAAAAGAAAATCATCAGACAAACCTTGATTGAGGGATATTTTACAAAATGTCACAATACCTCAAAACGATCAAGGTCATCAAAAACAAGAAAGTGTGAGAAACTGTCAGTCAAGGAGAGACTAAGGAGGCAGGACAGCTGGGTGCAAGGAGGCATCCTAGATCGATGTCCCAGAACAGTAAAGAGACATGAGGTGAAAACTGAGGAAATCCGAACAAAGCATGGCCTTTAGTTAATAACATATCTATATTGATTTATTAATTATAACATGTACCCAACAAATACATTAATAAAATACTAATAATAGAAGAAACTGAGTGTAGAGTTTATGGGAACTCTCCGCATTATCTTACCAATTTTTCTGAATGTCTAAAGCTCTCTTCTAAAAACTAAAGTTTACTTTTTAAAAAACTGATGTGAAATTTTTCTATGGCATCCTAACGTATCGTTTGGGATTCCCAAAGTGGGGAATTAATGAGATAATTTTAGTTTGGCGAGTGGATGTAGCATTAAAAACATTAAGTTATATACTGAAAAGTTATTCTTTTCTTCCACTCTTCTGGTGAGATCACACAGTGAGCCTTCTTCAGTGCTAGGATGTCTTCATGGCTGCTTTGACACTTACTAATCTCCATTATTTAATGAAGACAAACTCATAGACCCGGCTGGACTCCAGTGTCTACAGTTCAATAGCATTGCTTTGTTCTGAGTTCATCTTCAGGCACCTTTTTTTTTTTTTTTTTTTTTTAGACGGAGTCTCGCTGTCTCCCAGCCTGGAGGGCAGTGGCTTGATCTCGGCTCACTGCAAGCTCTGCCTCCTGGGTTCATGCCATTCTCCTGCCTCGCCTCCTGAGTAGCTGGGACTACAGGCATCTGCCACCATGCCCTGCTAATTTTTTTTTTTTTTTTTTTTTTTTGTATTTTTAGTAGAGATGGGGTTTCACTGTGTTAGCCAGGATGGTCTCGATCTCCTGACCTTGTGATCCGCCCACCTCAGCCTCCCAAAGTGCTGAGATTACAGGTGTGAGCCACCACTCCTGGCCCTTAGACACCCTTTCTTTATGGCAAATGCTACCGGTTGTCCTTTTGTATGGGCAATCTGAAACTTTCTTTGAAGAACTTGATTACAGTTATTAAAAGGAAGAACATCAAGTATACTGGCTGACAATGGTTACTTTTACCTGAGCCCTGCGAGTGTGAATTAAAACAATCCTCCTACCCTTTGCGTCCTGGAAATGGCTTCCAGCTGATAACTTACAGGTCCAAATTAGCTACCTGGAGAAGGTTTTATGATTCGTGGCTTACATACTGTCCCTGAGTTAAAAATCTTTGCGTTGAGTTCCTCAGATCTCATCATGCCTCCCATTCCATTCAAAAAAAAAAAAAAAAAAAAAAAGCTACTAAGATTTAAAAAATAAACAAACAAAAAATGACATACCTTTCTCACAATTTGTGGACAGAGGACAGACAGAACTCAAAGTCATCCCTCTGCTCACTGAGATAAATGCGTATCTGATGACTTCCTTTGGAAAGGCTAATCAGAAACTCAAAAGAATGCAACCCTTTGTCTCTTATCTACCTATTACCTGGAAGCCCTCTCCTCGCTTCAAGTTGTCCTGCCTTTCCAGGCTGAACCAATGAACATTTTACATGTGCTGATTGATGTCCTATGCCTCCCTAAAATGTATAAAACTGAGCTGTGCCCCGATCACCTTGGCACATGTCATCAGGACCTCCTGAGGCTGTGTCATGGGTGTGTCCTCAACCTTGGCAAAATAAACTTCCTAATTGACTGAGACTCAGACACTCTTTGATTTACAAAACATTTATCAAAATTATGTCTGCCTCCACGGCCTTAATTTCAGTTGACACAGCAACGAACTTCCCTTCCTCACATGACTTAGAGAGGGCTTGAAGATGTACCCTTGTTGACCTGGCATAAGACCACACACAGACCTTCCGAATTCTCACTCATTGTCCCACAAATGATTAGGCTGACTGCCTGAACTCACTGATCCATCAGAACAGAGTATTCGTTAGCCAAACTCTCCTCCCAGGCCCCTGATCCTGGACCCACCCTCAGCCTGGGGCAGCAGACAGCCCCTCCCGAGAACTGGCTGGAAGCCTGGTAAAACACTCTCTATCTACTCTCCGTTCACCCCACCTCCCATCCCTCCCTTCATTAGGCTCCTCCCATTTCCCCACACTTCATTCTTCCTAGCTTTAGTCACTCTTCCCTCTAGAAGAAAAACCCCTTTCTACGCAACCTTTGAGGTGCTGGCAGATTTCATGGTGGGAGTGTTCTCCCTATTGAAATAGTCCCCCTCTTCCTATTACAACAGCCCCTTCCCCTTCCTCTTGCAATAATCCTTTTCTAAAAAGTGACTCTTACCAAGTCTGGAGTTTTTTTTGTACTTGACACAGTACAGGTGGCATTCACAGTGGCGATATGATGAAAGTGGTCTGTGAATAAATTAAGAATGAGAAATGCTGTAGTCGTAAGACAAAACAAGACAGTGGTTTGGGGAGATATCTTCCCATATTCAGTTTGAATCCTTGCTGTTCGGCTGGATGCTGTAATAATCGTGAACTCATGTCTTTGTCACACAGGCTCAAAAAAGCACCTGGATCTGGGAGGTGTTTAATAATATTCTGGGTGTAGTGGTGCAAGCCTGTAGTCCCAACTACTCAGGAGGCTGAAGTGGAAGGATAGTTTAAGCCCAGAGTTCAAGTCCAGCCTGGGTCACATTGCCAGACCGCATCTCAAAAATAAACAGGCCAGGTGCCGTGGCAAATACCTGTAATCCCAGCACTTTGGAGGTGGAGGCGGGCAGATCACTTGAGCCCAGGAGTTCGAGACCAACCTGCATAATGTGTTGAAGCCCAGTCTCTACTAAAAATTTAAAAAATTAGCTGGCCGTGGTGGTGAGCACCTGTAGTCAGCTACTCAGGAGGCTAAGGTGGGAGGATTGCTTGTGCCCAGGGAGTTGAGGCTGCAGTGAGCCATGATCATGCCCCTGCATTCCAGCCTGGGCAGTGAGAGTGAGATTCTGTCTCAAAAATGAATACATAAACATAAATAAACAAACATGTCTAATCAACTCATCTATTTAACTAACACTGCATATATTGCACATGTACTTTTCTTTCTTTATGTCTTCTTTTTCTTTTCTTTTCTTTCTTTTTTTTTTATTTTATTTTTTATTTTTTGATACTAGTTCTCCCTCTGTCACCCAGGCTGGAGTGCAGCGGCATGTTCATGGCTTACTGCAACCTTGAACTCCTGGACTCAAGCAGTCCTCCCATCTCAGCCTGTGGACTACAGGTGTGTGTCACCACACCTGGCGAGTTAAAAAAAATTTCTTTGTAGAGATGAGCGTCTCGCTATGTTGCCCAGGCTGGCCTTGAACTCCTGGGCTCAAGTGATCCTTCTGCCTAGGTCTCTCAAAGCACTGGGATTAGAGGCATGAGCCACCAGGCTCGGCAGACATCTTGATTTTTAGCCCACTGTGGCGCATGTGAGATGTCTGACTCCAGAATTGCAAGATAATAAATATATTTTATTTATATTTATTTATTTATTTATTTTGAGACGGAGTTTCATTCTTGTTGCCCAGGCTGGAGTGCAATGGCACAATCTCGGCTCACTGCAACCTCCGCCTCCCGGGTTCAAGGGATTCTCCTGCTTCAGCCTCCCGAATAGCTGGGATTAGAGGCATGCGCCTCCATGCCCGGCTAATTTTGTATTTTTAGTAGAGATGTTGTTTCTCCATGTTGGTCAGACTGGTCTCGAACTCCCGACCTCAGGTTATCTGCCCACCTCGGCTTCCCAAAGTGCTGGGATTACAGGCGTGGGCCACCGTGCCCAGCCTAAATATATTTTATTTTAAACAATTAAATTTGTGCTAATTTTTATAGCACCAATAGGAAATTAATACAACACATAGCTATAGTTATATATGCTATATATACATGCTATTGTATGTATAAAATATTTTGGGGAGATTCACATAGCAATGTTAACATCATTTCCTTTGGAAAATGGAACTGAAGGTCTAGGTGATAAAAGGTCATTGGGAGATTTTTCATGTTTTGGTTTGTCCTTTTTAATTTTGAAGGTTTTTAAAAAATTATTTATTTATTTATTTGTTTTTGAGACGGAGTCTTGCTCTGTTGCAATGATGTGATATTGGCTCACTGCAACCTCCACCTCCTGGATTCAAATAATTGTCCTGCCTCAGCCTCCCTAGTAGCTGGTATTACAGGCACACAACATCACATCTGGCTAATTTTTATATTTTTAGTAGAGATGGGGTTTTGCCATGTTGACCAGGCTAGTCTTGAACTCCTGACCTCAAGTGATCTGCTTGCCTCGGCCTCCCAAAGTATTGGAATTACAAGCGTGAGCCACTGCGCCCAGCCTGAGTACTCTTTTTTTTTTTTTTTTTTGGAGGTGGAGTCTCACTCTGTCATCCAGGTTGGAGTGCAGTGGCGCCATCTCAGCTCACTGCAGCCTCAACCTCCCGGGTTCAAGCGATTCTCCTGCCTCAGCCTTCTGAGTAGCTGGGATTACAGGCACATGCCACCATACCGGGCTAATTTTTGTGTTTTTAGTAGAGATGGGGTTTCACTATGTTGGTCAGCCTGGTCTTGAACTCCTGAGCTCAGATAATCCACCTGCCTCGGCCTCCCAAAATGCTGGAATTACAGGCATGAGTCACAGTGCCCGGCCCCTAAGTACATTTTTAAACACTGAATTAAATTTTAAAACTTTTGTTGTTGTTGAGAGGGAGTCTTGCTCTGTCGCCCAGGCTGGAGTGCAGTGGCGTGATCTTGGCTCACTGCAACCTCCGCCTCCCGGGTTCAAGAAATTCTCCTGCCTTAGCCTCTTGAGTAGCTCGGACTACAGGAGCATGCCACCACGCCTGGCTATTTTTTATTTTATTTTATTTTTATTTTTTGTATTTTTAGTAGAGACAGGGTTTCACCATGCTGGCCAGGCTGGTCTCAAACTCCTGACCTAGTGATCCACCCACCTCAGCCTCCCAGATTGCTGGGATTACAGATGTGAGCCACCATGCCTAGGCTGAAAAACTTTTTTATACAAAAATTAGCTGGGCATGGTGGCATGCACCTGTAATCCCAGTTACTGACTGAATGGAAATCAGCCTGACTCCCAGGCTGACATGGGAGGATCTCTTGAGTCTGGGAGTCCGAGGCTGCTGTGAGCTGAGATTTTGCCACTAATCTCCAGTCTGGGTGACAGAGCGAGACCTTGTTTCAAAACAAACAAAAAAACCCACTTTCTTCTTGGTGGATTTCTCTGCTATATGTCCTAGACCATCTATCCTTTCAGCTTTAAAGGGTAAATGTACTTAAATTGTCCTAGGCAATCTCTATCCCTTCAATGTTAAAGTAAGAATGTACTCTTCCAGTGCTGTGGTTTGAATATGGCTTGTCCCCACAAAAAATCATGTTGAAACCTAATTCCCAATGGGGCAGTGTTGAGAAATTGGACCTTTAGGAGGTGATGGTACCATGAAGCCTCTGCTCTCATGAATGAATTACTTATTCATGGATTACCTGATTAATGGGTTATCATAGGAATGGACCTGGTAGCTTAATAAGTAAAGGAAGAGAGACCTGAGCTATCGCACTCAGCCCTCTTGCTTTGTGATGCCCTGCCCTACCTTGTAACTCTGCAGTCTCCACTAGAAAGAAGTCCTTACAAAGTGCAGCCCCCCATTCCATTCATTTCAGTCTACTCCAGCTCACTCAACTCCTCTGCATTCCATTCCACTTATTCCATTCTACTCCATTTGTTTCCATCCCACTGCATTCCATTCTGTTCTAGTCTAGTCTATTCTAGTCTGTTCTATTTCATTACACACCACTCCACTTCATTTTGTCTTTTTCTATCCTATGCTACCCCTTTCTACTCCACTGTATTTCATTTTGCATATTCTATTCCATTTCCTTCTATACTATTTCATTTTATTCCACTCCATTCTATTCTATTCCCCTCCCTTCCATTATACTTCACTCCCTTCATTTCACTCCATCCCATTTTATTCTATTCTTTCTATTCTCTTCCATTCTTTTTCATTTTACTCCACTCTATTCCACATCACTCCATTCCATTCTATTATATTCTATTCAATTATATTCTGTTTCACTCTACTCCATCCCATTTTTTCCAATTTATTATATTTTATTCACTTTCATTCTTTTTGTTTGTTTTTTGTTTTTTGTTTTGAGATGGAGTCTTACTCTGTTGCCAGGCTGGAGTGCAGTGGTGCGATCTCGGCTCACTGAAACCTCTGCCTCCTGGGTTCAAGTGATTCTCCTGCCTCAGCCTCCCGAGTTGCTGGGATTACAGGCACCTGCCACCACGCCTGGCTAATTTTTATATTTTTAGTAGAGACGGGGTTTCACCATGTTGGTCAGGGTGGTCTCGAACTCCTGACCTTGTGATCTGCCCACCTCGGCCTCCCAAAGTGCTGGGATTACAGGAGTGAACCACTGTACCTGGCCGATTTCATTCTTTTCAATTCCCTTCCACTGCATTCTGTTACATTCTGTGCCATTCCACTCCACTGTATTCTACTCCACTCCTTTGTATTCTAGCTTATTATGTTCAATTATATTCTGTTTTATACCACTCCATTCCATTTTATTTCAATTTATTCTAGTCTAGTCTATTTCATTTTACTCCATTCCATTCTATTCTATTCTACTCTTTTTTTTTTTTTTTTTTTTTTTTTTTGAGACAGAGTCTCGCTCTGTCGCCCAGGCTGGAGTGCAGTGGCCGGATCTCAGCTCACTGCAAGCTCCGCCTCCCGGGTTCCCGCCATTCTCCTGCCTCAGCCTCCCGAGTAGCTGTGACTACAGGCGCCTGCCACCTCGCCCAGCTAGTTTTTTGTATTTTTTAGTAGAGACGGGGTTTCACCGTGTTAGCCAGGATGGTCTCGATCTCCTGACCTCGTGATCCACCCGTATATTCCACTCCACTCCACTTCATTCTTATTCCATTCCATTCTATTTCATTACACTCCATTGTATTCCACTCCACTCAACACCATTCTGTTCAATTCAGTTGTCTTTCACTATACTTCACTTGCCTTCATTCCATTCCATTCTATTTTCCATTTCACTCCATTCCATCCTATTCAATTCTATTTCATTCTATCTTACTGTATTCCATTACACTTTAATTGATTCTAATTAATTGAATTAGTTGATTCTAATTAATTGAATTGATTCTAATTAATTGATTCTTCATTCTATTCTATTTCTTTCCACTGTATTCCATTCCATTCATTTCCACTCCATTCTATTTCCACTTCATTCTATTCTATTTCCACTGTATTCCATTCCATTCATTTCCACTCCATTCTATTTCCACTTCATTCTATTCTATTTCTTTCCACTGTATTCCATTCCATTCATTTCCCATCCATTCTATTTCCACTTCATTCTATTCTTTCTTTCCCTGTATTCCATTCATTCATTTCCACTCATTCTTCCACTTCATTCTATTCTATTTCTTTCCACTGTATTCCATTCCATTCATTTCCACTCCATTCTATTTCCACTTCATTCTATTCTATTTCTTTCACTGTATTCCATTCCATTCATTTCCACTCATTCTATTTCACTTCATTCTATTCTATTTCTTTCCACTGTATACCATTCCATTCATTTCCCTCCACTCCCCTTGACTTCATTCACTCCTCCATTCTATTTCCACTTCATTCTATTCTATTTCTTTCCACTGTATACCATTCCATTCATTTCCACTCCACTCCCTTGACTTCATTGCACTCCATTCCTTCCCACTCTATTGTACTCCACTTCACCCCATTCCATTATATTTCAGTCTAGTCAACTCTATTCTGCTTTATTTCACTCCTGTCCTACTCCATTCCATTCTACTCCATTCTGTTCCATTTCACTCCACTCCTATTCTATTTCATTCAGCTCTGTTCTATTCCACTTCACACCATTCTGTTCAATTCAGTTTAATCCAATTCTATTCTTTCTATTCTATTCCATTACATTCTCTCTACTTGTCTCCTATTCTATTCCACTAGCTTTTTTTTTTTTTTTTTTTTTTTTTTGAGATGGAGTCTTGCTCTGTCACCTAGGCTGGAATCCAGTGGCACGATCTTGGCTCACTGCAACTTCTGCCCCCCAGGTTCAAGGGATTCTCTTGCCTCAGTCTCCTGAATAGCTGGGATTACAGGCATGTGCCACCATGCCCGGCTAATTTTTGTGTTTTTAGTAGAGATCAGGTTTCACCATGTTGGTCAGGTTGGTCTCGAAGTCCTGGCCTCAAGTGATCCACCCACCTCAGTCTCCCATATAAAATGGAAATAGTTCCATAGTGGACATCCTACATCACAGGCTACCACATCCCTGCAGAGCAGTAGGATTTAGCTAGCTATGGTCCTATAGGGGAAAGCCGTTAGCTATTCTACATAACCAACAGTATGCAGCCTATAGCATTCACAAGAAACATGGCAACTCCTGTTGGAGTGGCTTCTCCTATTTAGAGACTGCATAGTCACAAGGCATATTTACCTAGACCCAACACTTTTTCAGTCATGATTCATCCTTGCCCTGATTCTAAGTAAATCAAAGATGTTTAAACCTCCCTGTATCCTGAGTTGGTAATAATTAACCAGGTTACCACATTAGTTCAACATACTGACAAGAAAACATAAAAAAGGCATATAATTACTTGGCCTACACACCTTACGATGTGGAGACCATCTTCTGTTCTCCTCTGAGGACTTCCACCAGCTGAAGAAACCATGAGACATCCGACAGCAGTCCCCTCCTTTCCATTGCAGATAGTGCTAAAAGCACTCCAGGCCTTCAAGCCTGCTGAGCTGTTCTTGGTGTGGTCCTCATAAGCTTGCCTGCCAACTGCACAGCTCTCTCGGAGGAGTCCTCCTCCATGTCACTATTATTAGATAACTGTTATGAGCTGCTTTTCTCCATGTGAATCATCCACATTTTTGCCTATGGGAGAAAATTTAGCCCATACCCCTAAGGACTGATGGATATATTCAGCTAAATAAGACTTCCTAGACATTAAAAATTTTCAAAGGCATGATTATTAATCTCAAATGAATAAGTATAAACTAAACAAAAGTAAAATTCTTTTTATGTAACACAAAATACTTTTAAAATAGAGTAAATATTAGTCATAAAGAAATCCTTAATTGTTTAAAACATAGCAATATTGGCCAGGTGCGGTGGCTTAAGCCTGTAATCCCAGCACTTTGGGAGGCGGAGACGGGCGGATCACGAGGTCAGGAGATCAAGACCATCCTGGCTAACACGGTGAAACCCTGTCTCTACTAAAAAATACAAAAAACTAGCTGGGCGAGGTGGCAGGTGCCTGTAGTCCCAGCTACTCGGGAGGCTGAGGCAGGAGAATGGCGTGAACCTGGGAGGCGGAGCTTGCAGTGAGCTGAGATCCGGCCACTGCACTCCAGCCTGGGTGACAGAGCGAGACTCTGTCTAAAAAAAAAAAAAAAAAAAAAAAATTGCAATATTATAAAATTGGTCTTTTTGAAAAAAGAAAAAAAGGAAAACTTACAAACTTTAAAAAATATTTACCCTTTATTGATATATAGATGTATATATTTTTGGGGTACATGTGATAATTGGATACATTTATATAATCAAATTCCAAATATGTTTTATGAAGTAAATAGATTATTGGTACCCAATACTAACAAAGATGGTATCAAAAGAAAAAAACAGTAGATCATTCATATTTATTAACATCAATGAAAAAACCGTTCATAAAATATTATAAATGTAAACCATGAGCTTATTAAAAATAATACACTTTCCAGTGAAAGAGATTAACCAGTCTAGAGAAAGAAAAATAGATCCACTTGAAAAACAAATAAATGTATGGTGATATCTAAAGCAATGAGGGAAGACATATTAAGACAAGTCATGTGGGAATAACTAGATAGTAATATGGATAAGAATAAAGCTTAAATAATTTTATAAACCATAAAAGTAAATGCATGCAAATAGCAAAGTTTCCATATATTCCATTCTAATTTTTTATAATCATTGTATAAATGGGAGCATAGAAAACTTTCTATGTCTCACATCCTGAAACAATGATGGAAAATATTAATATATTTGACTACATAGAGTTTTTAAACTAATCTGCTTAGTAATATTAAGCATAAGTCACATTTAAGTGTAGTAAAACTAAATATAAGTAAACATAAGTAAAAATTAAGCATGAAGCAAAATTAAGGGAAGGGCAAAGAAAGATGGCAGAAGGCTCCACTAATCATTCTCCCTGCGAGGACACCAATTTAACAACTATCTACCAAAAAAGCACCTTTATAAGGACTGAAAATCAAGTGTGAACTCACAGTACCTGGTTTTAACTTCATATTACTGGAAGAGGCATTGAAGAGGTAGGAAAAACAGTATTGAATCACAAACACCGTCCCTGCCCCATTCCCAAGCAGCTGCGGCATGGTGCGAAGAGTGATTCTGTGCACAGGAGAGAGGCAAGTGCAACAATTGTGAGGCATTGAACTCAGTGCTGCCCTGTTAGAGCAGAAAACAAAAAGGGACAAAACTCAGCTGATGCCCATCAATGGAAGGCTACATAAGTAAGTTCTAGCCAGAGGGAAATCGCCAATCCCAGCAGTCAGAACCTGCAAGCCTCACCGCCACAGGCTAAAGTGCTCCAGGGCCCTAAATAAACTGGAAAGGCAATCTAGGCTTCAAGGGCTGCAACTCCTAGGCAAGTTCCAGTGCTGAACTGGGCTCATAGCCAGTGGGCTGTGGGGGCACATGACCTACTGAGACACCAACTGGAGCAATTAAGAGAGTGCTGGCATTACCCCTTCCCTACACCCAGGCTGCAGAGTTTGTAGTTCTAAAAAATGAATACTACTTCCACTTGAGGAGAGGAAAGGGAAGAGTGGGAGGACTTTGTCTTGCACCCTGGATACCAACTCAACCACAGTAGAATAGGGTAGCAGTCACAGTTGTGAGGCCCCCTTTCCAAGGCTTGGCTCCTGAACATTTCTAGACACACATGGGTTCAGAATGGAACCCACTACCTTGAAAGGAAGAACACAGCCCTGCCAGGAATCATCACCTGCTAACTGAAGAGCCCTTGGGCCCTGAATAAGAAGCAGTGATACCCAGGCAGTATGTCATGGTGAGATTCTGAGATGTTCTGGCTTTAGGTGAGACTCCGCACATTACCATTTGTGTGGCTAAGGGGCAAGTTCCTGCTTGAGAAAAGCAGAGGGAAAAGTAAAGGGGACTTTATTTTGCACCTTAAGTATCAGGTTGGCCACAGGGGAGTAGAGCACCAAGCAAGCTTTTGGGGTCCTCAATTCAAGGACTTGGCTTTTTTATGGTGATATGGCTTGGATCTGTGTCCTCACCCAAATCTCATGTTCGGTTGTAATTCCTAAAGTTGGAGGTGGGGCCTGGTGAGAGGTGACTACATCGTGGGGGTGGTTTCTCATGAATAATTTAACACTATCCCCCCTTGGTATTGTCATCACAATAGTGAGTGAGTTCTCATGAGATCTGGTTATTTAAAAGCATGTAGCCTCTCCCCTATCTTTCTCTTGCTGCTATGGCCATGTGACATGCCTGTTCCCCCTTCATCTTCCACCATGACTGTAAGTTTCCTGAGGCCTCCCCAGAAGCTGAGTAGCTGCCAGCATCATGCTTCCTGTACAGTCTGTGGAACCCTGAGCCAATTGAGCCTCTTTTTATTATACATTAACCAGTTTCAGATATTTGTTTATGGCAATGCAAGAACAGCCCAATGCAGAAAATTGGTACTGAGGAGTGGGGCATGGCTATAAAGATACCTGAAAATGTGAAGTGACTTTGAAACTGGGTAACAGACAGAAGTTGGAAGAGTTTGTAGGGTTCAGAATAAGACAGGAAGATGATGGAAAGTTTGGAATATCCTACAGATTGGTTAAATGGTTGTGTCCAAAGTGCTGATAGTGATAGGGACATGAAAGTCCAGGCTGTCAGATGGAAATGAGGAGCTTATTAAGAAATGGAGCAGGCCGGGCGCGGTGGCTCAAGCCTGTAATCCCAGCACTTTGGGAGGCCGAGACGGGCGGATCACGAGGTCAGGAGATCGAGACCATCCTGGCGAACATAGTGAAACCCCGTCTCTACTAAAAATTACAAAAAAAAAATTAGCCGGGCGAGGTGGCGGGCGCCTGTAGTCCCAGCTACTCGGGAGGCTGAGGCAGGAGAATGGCGTAAACCCGGGAGGCGGAGCTTGCAGTGAGCTGAGATCCGGCCACTGCACTCCAGCCTGGGAGACAGAGCGAGACTCCGTCTCAAAAAAAAAAAAAAAAAAAAAGAAATGGAGCAAAGGTCACTTTCTTTATGCCGTAGCAAAGTACTTGGCTGCTTTGTGTATCTGCCCTAGAAATTTGTGGAGCTTTGAACTTGAGAATGATGATTTAGTGTATCTGGTGGTAGAAATTTCTGAACAACAAAACATTCAAGAAGTAGAGTGGCTACTTCCAAAAACCTGTGCTCATATGCATGAGCAAAGAAATGATCTAAAGTTAGAATTTATGTTTGAAGGGGATGCAGAGCATAACAGTTTGGAAAATTTGCAGCATGGTCATGTGGTAAACAAGAAAAGCCCCAAAACTGGCTAGCCATATGCAGAAAACTGAAACTGGACCCCTTCCTTACACCTTATATAAAAATTAACTTAAGATGGATTAAAGACTTACATGTAAAACCCAAAACCAGAAAAACCCTAAAAGAAAACCATTTAGGACATAGGCATGGGCAAAGACTTCATGACTAAAACACCAAAAACAATTGCAACAAGAGCCAAAATTTACAAATGGGATCTAATTAAACTAAGCTTCTGCACAGCAAAAGAAACTATCATCAGAGTGAACAGACATCTTACAGAATGGGAGAAGATTTTTGCTATCTACCCACCTGACAAGGTTTAATATCCAGAATCTACAAGGAGCTTAAACAAATCTACAAGAAAAAAACAAGCCCATCAAAAAGTGGGCAAAGCATATGAACAGACACTTCTCAAAAGAAGACATTTATGTGGCCAACAAACATATTAAGAAAAGCGCAACATCACTGATCTTCAGAGAAATGCAAATCAAAACCATAATGAGATACCATCTCATGCCAGTCAGAATGGCGATTTTTAAAAAGTCAGGAAACAACGGATGTCGTAGAGCATGTGAAGAAATAGGAACGGTTTTACACTGTTGGTGGGAGTGTAAATTAGCTCAACCATTGTGAAAAACAGTATGGTGATTCCTCAAGGATGCAGAACCAGAAATACCATTTGACCCAGCAATCCCATTACTGGGTATATACCCAAAGGAATATAAATCACTGTACTATAAAGACACATGCACACATATGTTTATTGCAGCACTGTTTACAATAGCAAAGACGTAGATCAAACCCAAATGCCCACCAATGATAGACTGGATAAAGAAAATGTGGCACATATACACCATAGAATACTATGCTGCCATAAAAAGGAATGAGATAATGTCCTTTGCAGGGACATGGATGAAGCTGGAAGCCATCATCCTCAGCAAACTGACACACAGGAAGAGAAAACCAAACACTGCATGCTCTCACTCATAAGTGGGAGTTGAACAATGAGAACACATGGACACAGAGAGGACACACACCAGGGCCTGCTGGGGGCTGTGGGGTGAGGGGAGGGAACTTAGAAGATGGGTCAATAGGTGCAGCAAACCACCATGACACAGGTATACCTGTGTAACAAACCTGCACATTCTGCATGTGTATT